GAGACAGCTTCCTGTCTCTGCCGTCTTCCCAGAATCCTTTTTTACTTTAGAGAAGTTTTAGGTTTACAACACAATTGAGAGGAGGATAGAGAGACATCCCATATCCTCTGTCCCCACTCCTGCATGGCCTCCCCCATTATCAATATCACTCACCAGAATGGTTTTTTTTTTTTAAACAAGGGTGAACCTACATCGACACAGCATAATCACCCAAAGTCCCTAGTTAACATGGTCACTCTTTTTAGTATACATTCTGCTGGTTTGGAAAAATGTATAGTGGCATGTATCCATCATTATGGTATCATATAGAGTATTTTCACTGTCCTCAAAGTCCTCTGCTCTACCTATTCATCATCTTCCAATTCTTGGCCACCTTTTTACTGTTTTCATAGTTTTGCCTTTTCCAGAATGTCATGTGGTTGGAGTCATTCAGTATGTAGCCTTTTCAGATTGGCTTCTTTCACTTAGTAATATGCATTTAAGATTCCTCTGTGTCTTCCTGGCTCGATAGCACGCTTCTTTTTGGCACTGAATAATATTCCATTGTTTGGAGGTACCAGTTTCTTAATCCATCCATCTACTAAAGGACATCTTGGTTGCTTCCAGGTTTTGGCAGTTTTGATTAAAGCTGTCATAAACATCCACATGCAGGTTTTTGTGTGGACAAAATGTCTCAGCTCTTTGGTTAAATACCAAGGAATGTGATTGCTGGATCTGATGGCAAGAGCAGGTTTAGTTGTATAAGAAGCAGCCAAACTGTCTTCCAAAGTGGCTGTACCATTTTGCATTCCCACCAGCAATGAATGAGAATTCCTGTTGCTCCACATCCTCACTAGCTTTTGGTGTTGTCAGTGTTCTGAATTTTGGCTTAATAGGTGTGTAGTAGTATCTCCTTGTTATTTTAGTTTGCACTTCCCTGATGGACATGATGTTGAGCATCCTTTCATGTGCATATTTACCATCTGTTTATCTTCTTTGGTGAGGTGTCTGTTAAGACGTTTGGCCCATTTTTTAATCTGGTTGTTTGTTTTCTTATTATTGTTTTTTTTATATTAATAGATTTTATTTTTTAGAGCAGTTTCAGGTTCACAGCAGAATTGAGCAAAAAGTACAGAGAGTTCACACATAGCCCTCTCCACCCACACACATATACTCCCCTACCCTCAACATCCCTCATCAGTGTGGCATATTTGGTACAATGGATGAACCAATATGGGCACATTATTACCAACCAAAGTCCATAGTTTACATTAGGGTTCACTCTTGGTGGTGTACATTCTGTGGGTTTTGACAAATGCATAATGACATGTAGCCACCACTATAGTATCATACAGAATAATTTCATCACCCTAAAAATCCCTTGTGCTCCATCTATTCATTCCTGCCTCCATTCCTCTCCCCAAGCCCCTGGAAACCATGATCTCTTTATTGTTTCTGTAGCTTTGGCTTTTCTAAGATGTCATTTGGTTGGAATCATCATACAGTTTGTAAACCTTTTCAGACTGGCTTCTTTCATTTAGTAATACATCTTTTAAGTGTCTTCCATGTCTTTCATGGCTTGATAGAGCCTTTTTTTTTTACTGCACATAATATTGTTTTAATTTACATATGTGTACTGTTGATTGTTTCTAAGAACGTTTAGAGCTTTGGCTTTTTAAACTTACATAGTTATCAAAGGAATAAAGCCAACCACAAAATAAGAATTAACTCAAAAGGATATATACACCCTGCTATTAACATCAACATTATTTACAATTGCCAAGATACGGAAGCATCCTAAGTACACATCAGTAGTTGAATAGATAAAGAGATATAGCATACATATATAATGGAACACAGCTCACTTATAAGAAAGAAGGATATTTTGCCAATTGTGGCCCTTCATTCACTTTTTTTTTGCTTCAAAAACCAAAATTTTAAAATCGGCATATACATTTCCATTGCATCAAATCAAAAACAACAAAATACCTAGAAATAAACTTAACCAAGGAAGTTAACTATACTCTGAAAACTGAAATGACACAACGCAATGGAAAGATTTCTTGTGCTGTTGGATTGGAAGAACCAACACTATCAAAATGGCCACAGTACCCAAAGCAATCCATGGATCCAGTGCGACCCCTATCAAAATACTCAGGACATTCCTCACAGAACTCTAACAAATTTTCCAAAATTTATAAGGAACCACAAAAGACCCCGAACAGCCAAAGCAGTCTTTTGTGAGTCTCTTTTTTTTTCTCTTTCTTTTTGTTCTCTTTTCTTATGGTTTGATGACTAGAGAAGGTCTTTTAACATTTGTTGTGAAGCTGGTTTGGTGGTGCTGAAGTCTTTAGCTGTTGTTT